AAGTGGCAGCAGACCTGCTCTCGCTCACTGGCTCCAGGCAAATCATCTTGCTGTCCCTCAGCACCACCCACTTTGGCTGGGAATAAAAACTGAGTTGAGAGAAGCCCCTGAGCAGTGCCTGGCTCGCCACGGCCTGGGCTACCACTGAACATGGTCAAGTTTCATGAAGAAGGGACAGGACCATGCATGGGCCTCCTGAAGTCACCAAGCTCTCTCCCCTCAGATCCAACGTCTCTAAAACCAGGTGGGGGTGGTGGCTCCTTCAAACCAGGTTCCTGAACATCCTGGTGAGCTGCAGAGGACTTGGCCAAAGCAGCAGGCATAAGGGCTCCAGCCCTGCTCCCACCCGGCACACCAGGCACAGGAATTCCAGGTGCTAGGTAGCCCTGAGTGTCTCCCTCTGAAGATGTCCACAGCACCGGGGGACTCTGGGAGGACTCCGTAGCCCCCTTGGCTGGCCAAGAGCCAGGAGCAGCTTAGGCCCAGGTTAGGTGGAGAAGCCAGAGCTGTTGGGGAAGGAGGCCAGGTGGACTGGGGCTGGCTCTGTGCAGGGACGGGAGGAAGTCAGAGCTGGGAGAGCAGGCAGGCAGCTGCGGAGGGCCGGGCACCTGCTCTGCACCTGTGACACAGACCTTCGGCCACAGGCAGCCCAGGGAGCAGGAGCAGCACCCACCTGCTGGGGTGGGAGGGGGAAGGGCAGGCCAGCACCCCTTTCCTCTTTGCCACCCTGGCTAGTTCGCAGGAGATCCCAGCTGCTGGTCACACCCCGGGCCTCAGGCCACCGGTCCTCCTCCTAGGACCTCACTGAGTCCAAAGGCTACTTCTAGGCCATAGTGGCGCAGCAGCCCAGCTGCGTGGCCGGGGGGAGGGAAGCAGATGATGGTGAGCCCTTGGGCTGACCACCCCTTGGAGGGAGACTCCCTGCTTTGCACCCCTTTTCATTTGCCCATCCTGGACCCAAGTGGGGTGCCTGTTTCCTCTTCTGGAACGTGGGTGTGAGCACCCCCGACAGCTCCAGCTTACATGGTGTCAGGTGCAGGAGAAAGCTGAGGGCTCACATCTCAGAACCACACTTTGTAGCAGGTTTCTGTCCCACTACCCAGCCCAGGCCTGCCTCTGGCCACCATTCACCCTCAGCCTGCCACAGGGCCCAGCCCGCCCCAGGGAAGCGAAGTTGGCAGCAGGGTCCTTTGTGGTGCTGCTCCTGTGTGGCACTGCCTAGGGGCCCCATCATGGGGGCAACAGATGGACCTATGGTCTCTGCAGAACAATGGTGGGGGAGGGGCCCTGGCATCACCCGCCCCAAACAGGAAGCTCTGCATGAGCTTCAAAGGGCTGGCAGGGCTGAGGGGCCGAGTGGTGGAGCTGGTGCCAGGACTGGCGGCTGCCAGCTTAGGATGCCCAGGCTGAGTGGTGTGTGTGTGTGTGTGTGTGCGCGCGCGCGTGCGCGGGCGCGAGCGCTTGCGGAGGCAGCAGGGCAGGGAGCCAGCTGCACCATGGGCCACAGGCAGCAGCCTCTGGCCTGGCAGCAGGTTGGGAAAGGAGGCCTGGGCACTGGGGCTGCCTTCCCAACCGCTGCAGGTTCGCTCCCCGGTCCCTCCAGTAAGCAGCCAGCGGGCCAGGCCTGGCAGTGAGCCGGCCGCCCACTCCCTGCCTCCTGCTCCCAGCTGCTCCGCTTGGAGCCTTTTCCTCTCCACTTCCTGTTCACACAGGGGGGGGCGGGAAGTGGAGGGAGGAAGTGGGGGGGAGGCGTGTAGGGGGGAACCCATTGAATAAAAGGAATTAACCGTTTCCCTCCTCTGACCTCTGGGAATTTCCGCCTGTGAAAGTGTCTCGAAGAAATCAGGAGGGCTGGGGGAGAGGCGAGAGGTGTGCCCCCGCCCCCCCCACCACGCGCTGGTGGTGGGGCCAGATAACTCCCTCTGGGCCCCTAACCTTTTGTTTCCCTGGCGCCAGGGGAAGGGGGGCAGCGCTAAGGGCAGCCTGGAGCCTGATGGCCCCGGAGCCCACTCCCAATTCACGGGGTTGATGCCAGGCCCCTGGCCTGCGACCCCAGCCGCTGGGGGGCGGGGCGCGGGAACGGGGAGAAATGGCGATCCTTGGGGAAATGCGCTCACACCCAGGCTGGCCGGGCAGAACCCCGCGCCCTCTGCCAGGGACCTGTGCCCTGGGCCAGTCTGCCTCGGGGCAGGCGCGGAGGGGGCGGGGCCTCCGGCTGCCACACCCTCCGCTGGCCCCGCCCCCAGGAGCCGGGCTGGGGAGCCGGCAGATGGCGCCCCCTAGTGCCCGCCCCTGACGGGGCCGAGCGGCCCCCAGGGGCCCTCTCAAGGGCGGGCCTCAGGAAGCACCTGCTCCCAGGACCAGGGGCCGCCCTGAGTCTCCCCCAGGTGGCTTCCTTGTTTACAGGCCTCCTGCCCTGGTCCCAGCGTCACTGCCCGCGGCCCCTCCTCCCATTTCCAGTGACGGCTCCCAGAGCAGCTCATTCATCTTGGGCCCTACCAGGCAGCTGCTCCTCCACTCCATCCCCTCCTGACCCTCCCCCCTCTTCCCACCCCTAGGCCCAGGGCCAAAGCCCAGAGGGCCTTCTCTCTGCAGTCCATTCCAGGCCTTGCTTGGTTTACAGGGATCTAAGAGCCCTGGCTTCCCGTTTGCCCTGACTCACCACCGGAACCCCAATTGGTCAGTGCCAAGGAAGCCTGGGGCCTTTTCCCAGGAAAGAGGAAGCAGCCTGGAACCAGATGGGCCAGCTTACAACATAGCAGGGGCAGGGGCTTAGCCAACCCTTCAGGGAGAGGGGAGCCAGAGGGCAGTTTGTGTTTAGCATCCCCGTCTTAGGCACCCCAGAAGTGCACAGACAGCCTAATAAGCTGTTTTCTCTGTTACATTCCTGACGGAGGACACAGAAGTCCCTGTCTGTGTTAGGTGTGAGGAGTGCCTTAGGCTGCAAGGGCAGAAGGGAATGGTAGACAGGATGGGGGCAGGGGATAGGCTGCCCTCTGCCCACCCAGCAGGGGCTCTGCTCCCCACATGGCGCTCACTGGGGGTCATTGAAGATGGGCAGCCTCCAGCCCCTCCTGCTGCCACAGGGTTGTCGGAGCCCTTCGGCAATGCAGGATTCTGCAGGACTGCAGGAATGGCGGAAGGGGGAGGAAGCTGTGAGCAGAACCATGGCCTCTTGGTATTTTGTTTCAGGAGGGGCCAGCTGGTCAGTCCTACCCATAGAGCCCCGTTGTACTAGCAGCTGTCCACAGGGCACAGGTGCTCAGTGGTTGTTAGAGGTAGACCCCACACCATGACACCCCAGGATTTCACTTCCTGAGCCATAACTAGACACATACTAGGGGAATATTCACGGAGACTAGAAGGGGGAGAACATCTGCCAAATGCGGTGGATGATGGCAGTAGCGGTCACTTCCGGTCAAACTTGAGCCCTGTGGCTATGTGCCGGGAGGGGGCAGGGTGACATTGAAGCCAGAGCTGTGGGAAGGCAGGTATCCGAGCTGGCAGAGTGAAGCAAGGAAACCCTGGCCATGCCTGGAGCTGGGGGTGGGGCCAGGCTCAGAACCATGGTTAGGGAGTGGAGACTCTGGAAAAATTCCTGGGACAGCCAGGGAAGGAAGGGGCTAAAGACACACTGAGGCTGTGGCTTGGGTTAGCAGTGTCCCCAAAGCATCCCGATGCAGAGCATTCCCTGGGACACAGCACCACCTGCCGGCTGACATGAAGCACAGCCTCTGCTTAGGACCTACTTATCTGAGATCTGGGGTTCAGAGTGGCTAAAAAGTTGCAGCAGTGGGAAGAGTGAGCAGCATCTGTCAAGATCACCTTGTCTCATCTCTAGACGAAGAACCATGCACCAAGGCCTAAAGGCTTGCAGGAGCCTGGCACTTTCCCCACGGCAGCCTAGCCCTTCCTGCTGACCACTCGTGTCTGTTCCTCCCAACACAGCCACCTTGGAGTGAAACTGACCAAGTAGCTGCATCCACCTGTATTGTACATGTGCTGGCTAGCGCAGGTGACAGACTACACCTGAGCCTGCACTGGCTGGGTCCTGTGCGGTGGCTCAGTAACTAAATTCTTGCCTTGCAAGCACCAGGATTCCATATGGACACTGGCTCTTGTCCAGGTTGCTCCACTTCCCATCCAGCTCCCTGCTTGTGATCTGGGAAAACAGTCGAGGATGGCCCAAAAACTTGGGATCCTGCACCTGAGTGGGAGACCTGGAAGAAGTTTCTGGCTCCTGACTTTGGATTGGCTCAGCTCTGGCTGTTGTGGCCACATGGGGAGTGATCCAGCAGATGGAAGATCTTTCCATCTGGCTCTCCTCTCTGTAAATCTTTCCAATAAAAATAAATCTTTTTTAGAAAAGTTAAGGCTGAGGTCACCCCAAGCAAGTTTTCTTGGGGTACTCCCCAACTGGACCTCTGGACTCGGACCCTGGCCACAGGGAAAAATTACAGGAGGTAATGTCTGACCCTGAATGCATGTGCTGGGACCAGGCAGTTGCTGTTGCCTGTGCAATGGACAGCATGCCCCGATGCACACCGTGGGGACATGCATGATGGCCAGCTCATCTAGGCCAGCAGGAAGCGTCAACTGCCTCATCAGAGGATGGAGAGCAGAGCAGCTTGGACAATTCTGGCTAGGCTTTGCAGCATGTTTCCAGGTCTGTGGATGCACTAAGGTGGCCTTTGTCAATGAATAGATCTTGGGAAGAATTTTCTCAACCCTGGAGCAGTGAAACCAACAAGTTACACCCTCAGAACACTCTTCCCCACATCGGGGTCTCTAAGGAGTCATCAAAGCACCGTCCCTCATCCCTGGGTACTGATGTGATTTCACAGCAAGGCATGTTTCCCTCCCCCTCCTTCCTTGCAGACACAGGGGAAAAACCTAAAACATCTGTCCCACCCACCTTCCTCCATATTTGACCCACATGGGTGGCCTATCCCTTCAATGATGTAAACAATATTTTTAAAAAATTCAAAAACAAAACAAAGTCACCAGCAGAGAGCAGACAGTTTAATGTCATTCCCTTAGCTACCACCTTCTGCTGTGCTTCCCCTGGTCAGACTGGACACGAGCCTGGCCTCTGGGCCCCAGGTGGCTGCCCTCGCCTCCGGGACCAGGAGGGGAGGGTTTCCTGCCAAGGCCGTGGGCTGAAGGAGGGAGGAGGGCACTGTGGATGGGAAGCGGGATGTGGGTAGGCAAAGACAGGCCACGTGGCTGTCAGACACCAAGGGGTGGGGACCAGGTTACACATCTGCCTTCTTCACCTGAGGCAGTGTCCAGGCTTAAGTCCACTGCCCCAACCTGCAGAGCCCAGGCTCGTGAGCACAGAGCTGGGGAAGGGGCCTTTCAAGTCTTGGCTCCCTCCTGCCTGTCCCGCTCCTTGGGCAATGGCTCCTAGAGCCAGCTGAGCTGCTCTTCCTCATACCGCTGCGGGTCGATGAAGGGCCGGTCGATGGAGCGGATCATCAGCTCCCCACAGTACACGCATTCAGCGGCCACCAGCTCATCAAGGTCAGCCTTGAGCTGCTCGCGGCTGGGCCCCACGGCGGCAGCTCCTGCCTCGGCCTCCTTGGCCCGGGTAGGGCCCTTGGCAGGGGGCAGTGAGGCCCCCAGCTTTCGCTGTAGCTCCTCCAGCCGGGCCTGCTTGTAGGCGGGCAGGCCAGGCCGCACGGCCTGCAGCAGGCAGTCTGCATGGAACATGTGGCCACACAGGAAGAGATAGAAAGGGCGGTTGAGTAAGGGGAAGTCGCAGGCGGCACACTTGTCCTGTGGCTCCACAGTGCCGTAGCGGCCCCGCAGCTCCTGCAGGTCGCGCCGGATGCGCTGGGCACTGGCTGTGGCCTCCTCCATCTCCCGCTGCAGCTCCTGGATGTGGTGGTTGTAGGCGTTCAGCGAGCTGCAAATGGCCTCCTTGAAGTGGTCGATAGTGACGAAGTCTGGGAAGAAGGGCAGTACGTCCTCAATCTTGAGCAAGGGGCAGCTGGCCAGGCAGGCCATGGCAGTCTGCACGTCCTCCTCCTCCTGCACCACATGCCGCGCAATCTTCAGCCACAGCTTCTTGCGCAGCTCCTCATCATCCTCAGGCAAGTCCGCGCACTGCTTGGCCAGGTCCACGTCCACCTGTGCAGAGACCGTGGTGTTAGGGACACAGGGAGAAAGCTGCCCAGGGAGAAGCAGGGCAGCAGACCTGGGGGAGGAGCCTACGGTATTGGTGACGGACCTGTCACAGCTATGTGATCCTCCTCTGGTAGCAGGACTCTAGTTAGACTAAAACTTAAACAAATTACTTGGTGGTGGTACTGTGGAATAGCAGGTAAACCACCATCTGCCATGCCAGCGTTCATTATGGACACCCTGAGTCCCAGCAGCTTCACTTTCCATCCAGCTCCCTGCTTGTGGCCTGGAAGAAGCTCCTGGCTCCTCACTTCAGATTGACTTAACTCTGGCCACTGCGGCCACTTGGGGAGTGAACCAGAGGATGAGTATTCCTCTTTGTCTTTCCAATAAAAATTTTTAAATCTTAAAAAAAAAACAGTGAAGGGGGGAAGGAAGGAGAGAAAAGAAGGGAGAGGAGGGGAGCCTGGGAGGAGAAGAAGAAAAGGAAAGAGAGGGAGAGAGAGAGAGTAAGAACAAATCTTCCATCTGCTGGTTTATTGCATAAATGGCTACAACAGCTGGGGTTGGGCCAAGCCCAAGGCAGGAGCCAAACACCCCATCTGGGTTTCCCAAGTGACTTGCAGACTCACGCTCCTGGGCCACCCCTGGCTGCCCTCTGGGGAGCGTGAACAAAGAGCTGTGTGGGAAGTGGAGGAGGAGCTGGGACTCCAAAGGCCACTTGAGTATGGGATGCCAGCACGGCAAGCAGCAGTCTCACATCAACAGGTTGCTTAAGGCCATATGCAAGAGTTCACGACAGGCAGGAGTGTGGCGCAGGGCTGAAGGCACTGCTCGGGGGACGTCCACAGCCCCGGGGAGGCAGCTTCTGGGTTGAATCTTAGCTCTGCTTCTAAGCACCCTTGGGCCCCAGCACCAGCAAGCCTCCAGCATGGGATGCTGCTACCACCGCTGTTCTCCCTGCCTCTCTGGGTTAGGGTCCAGACTGGGGGCTCACCTGTAGGGCCAGGTCCACGGCTTCCTCATACAGCTCCAGGACCTTGTAGACGTGCACGCAGGCGCGGTGATGGCCATGCTCAGCACAGAGACGCAGTGCATACTTGAGGTCGTAGTGCACTCGGTGAGGGCTGCTCCCAGCCTGCTCAAGGTAGGCCAGCAGCGAGGCCGGCTGGCCACGGGCATACAGTGACAGCAGGTAGTTGTGAATGGCCTGCTCGGTCTCCCCAAGCACATTCACGCAGAATTCCATGTAGCGGATGGCCTGGCTCACCTGCTGGGTCTCACCACCCTGGCTGTAGTTCACCAAGGCAGGGATGAGCTGCCGGGCATCCAGGCGACTACCCATCTCAATCCAGGCATCCACCAGCTGACGGGGGATGTGGCGGATGAGTATGGGTGAGAATTTATAGAAGAGCTGGGGGTCCCGGTGGCGGGCGAGCACGGCCAGGGCCTCCTCGTAGGCCTCATGCTGGCAGTGGTAGGCCACCACGCGCTCATAGTCTTGCATGATCACCGCAAAGTACACCATATGCTCCGTGTCCCCATGGCTGGCCAGTAGCTCGTGGATGGATGCCCGGCTGGCAAATAGCCACTCCTTGTGGCGGGGGCTGCTGAGGAAGGCCCGGAAGCGCTCGCGGGTCTCCCGGTAGAGGGGCAGGGCCTCGGCGTCGCCCTGCAGGGCCCCAAGCCGGCTCAGGTAGAGCTCGGTCAGCCATGTGGTCAGTAGTGTAGCCTGTGTGCGCTCAGCCGGCTTCAAGCTGGCCAGCTTGCGCTGCAGGAACTCGGCCAGCGCCTCCTCCTGCCGGGCCTCCAGAAACTTGAGGGCGATCTCCTCAAAGTAGCTCTGGGTGAGCGCGTAGCAGCGGGCGCTCTCCAGATAGCGCTGCTGGCGGAAGCAGAAGTCGGCCTCGCGGGCCAGGACGGTGTCCAGGCAGTCGGGCCGCTCACGGCAGTACTCCTTGGCCAGGTCAAAGCGATTCATGTCCAGGTAGGTGCGCCACACGTCGCGGGCTTCCCGCTGCACGTGGTAGCGGAAGACGGCACGCTCGGTGTAGGCCCACAGCTGGCCCGTGGATGTGTCCTTCACCATGTGTTTCAGCGGCCCAAACTTCTCCAGGAAGTGGTCCCGAAGCACCACCTGTCCTGTCAGCGTGCATACTGCCTCCACACGGTCCGCCAGCAGCAGCAGGAAGTGGAACTGGGTCAACACGATGGCGAGGGGTGGGCTGGCACCGGGTCCGACTCCCTCAGGGTACTCCCAGACTCGCTCCTCGCTCAGTAGGGAATCGGGCCGCCCACAGTCCAGCGCCCCATACAGCACACCGTCCCCCATCATCCAGGCGAAGGCCCGGGGAGCAGAGCGCAGCTTGGGGGTATAGAAGGCCAACTCACTGTAGCCCAGGTTGCTGGGAAACTCCCGGAACGGGGGCGGGTGGTCAGTATAGGCCGCAAAGAGTCCCGAGAAGCCCTGGGCCTCGGCCCCCTCAGCTGTTCGCCCAATGAACTGGAAGAGGCGTTGCCGAGTGGTGGCAATGACGAAGCCGCGCCCATCAGGACCCCGCTCAGCCTCAAGGGAGCACACAGGCGCTGGACCCCCTTCTTCATTGAGCACGTATAGGGGACGGAAGTAGAGGTCGGGAGCAGGGCCGAAGAGTCCGCCCTCGCTGGCTGAGAGTTCCGCTTCAAAGATCTGGCCCTGGGCAGTGCCCACCAGGATGGGACCCGTGCTGCTCTCAGTGCCCAGGGCCTTGTTCCAACCCACACTCTCCACTAGCTGCCCCTTCCAGCGCGCCAGTGGCCGTACCTTCTGTCCATTGCGGTTCAAGTACAGGACCTCTGTGCTGCTCAATGCAATGAGCAGGTGAGAGCCTGCAGAGAGGAAATCAGGGTGCCCTGGTTGATGCTGCCATTTCTAGCCTCAGCCGCAACCTGGGCGCACACCCACCCCACCCCAGATCCCTTCTCTAACCCCACCGTCACCTACCAGTATGGTCCAGGAACATTTTGTGAACTTGGGCATCATCCTTGCGCCCCAGATCCACTTGGTTGAGTTCATTAGGCTTGCTCAGGTCAATGCTGCAAGGATGAAAGAGGAAAGGTCACCCTGGAGAAGGGTCCATCCTCGTCTGGGTCACTGCCTCCCTGCCCTGAAGCCCACAGCCACAACTCGGGATTCCAAGCACGAGGGCAGGCAGGTGGTGTCATGGCTCAGGCCCCACCTGGGACACCCGCATCCTGTATCAGAGTATCAGAGCACCACTCCACTGTGGGGTGTGGGCGTCTAAATAGCCATATGCCCGACTTCATTACCATAATCCTACTGATGTGCATTCCACTCAGGTCCAGTTCTTCCAATCATAAATAATGCTGCGATTAATATCTTTGGGTCTCTGCCCCACACCCCCCCAAGCTGGTCCTTTTTTCTATGGCTATATTTCCCAGACTGAGGTAGCCACATCACAGGTACACATATTTTAAATTTCAATAAATGCTGTCAGATTAGGTTTCCCAACAACAGTGGCAACTGACACTCCTGTGTGCCTTGAAAGGGGTATGGCTCGGATGTGGTGTATCCCCAGGGGTTACATGCACACCTGCTTCCTGGTGTTGGGACTCTGGGAATAAGCGGGAACCCGGTGTGTTGGGGTACCCTGTAGCTTCTGGATTCTGAGTAACAAAGTCTCTCTTTAGCCTGGGACCACAGAAATGTATTAAGTATTCTTTCAATATTTTCATTGCTCTTTTTTGACAATTTTTTTAAAAAGATTTTTTTATTACAAAGTCAGATATACAGAGGAGGAGAGATACAGAAGAAGTGGAGCTGCCGGGATTAGAACTGGTGACCATATGGGATCCCAGTGCATTCAAGGCGAGGACCTTAGCCACTAGGCCACGTCGCCAGGCCCAACAATTTTTTTTTTTTTTATGTATTTGAAAGGCAGAATAATGGAGAGGAAGAAGAGAGAAAGGGAGAGAGACTTTCTACCCACTGGTTTCTTTCTCATATGGCTACAATAGCCAGGGCTGGGTCAGGCCACAGCCAGAGCCAGGAACTCCATCTGGGTCTCCCACGAGGGTAGCATGGGCCCAGGCACGTGGACTATCTTATGCCATGCTCCCAGGCACATTGGCAGGGAGCTGGAACAGAAGTGGAGCAGCCAGGAAACTGGTGCTAGCTGCTACTGGTGCAGCACAGTGCCTAGGCTTAGAATTCATGCTTATGAGACAGTGGCCTGCCTCTGCTTTATCACAGCTGGATATTCCAAAGAGACCAGCAATTTTGCTCACATCTTTGCCACACATCGTGGCTCTATTTCAGGACTCTGAGAGCTGATACACCCTTTATTGGACGAAGGGACACATCTAGAGAGAGCAGATGACTGTCTCCAGAGTTCATACCTGGGGAGCACAACTGGGAAGTGAATCCAGGTCTATTTGTTTTAAAAGCAACCATGATTAATTTATTTTAATTTTGCTTAGAAAACAGAAAGACAAAGTGAGAGACAGAGAGAGACCGTACCTCCAATGGTTCACTTCCCCAAATGACTGTAACAGCTTGGGATACCTGAGGCCCCCGCCAGGACACCCACGGAGCTGGTTGGAATGTAAATACACGAACCAACCTGTGCTGCCTTCTTGGGGTATGTAGGAACCTAGATCAGGAGCAGAGTAGCTGACACCCCAAGTGGGATCTTCACTACCTGATTCCTAACTATGCTACCATGTTGGTCCTTCATGGAGATGGAGGAGACACTGCCTGACAATTCCAAATGTGACTCTTTGCCTGCTCCAGGAAGTGACCCGCCTACTGCTGATGCCTAACCCTTCTGGGCCCTTGCTCACCGGCGCAGCGCCTCCTTGCCCAGGCTCATGCACAGCTGGTTGCAGGATACCACCAGGCTGGTGATCCGCTCAGGAGGTGTGAAGTCGATGCGTTGCTTTGTGAAGATGGGTGCTTCTTTCTCCAGCTGCGCAGTCACGTACCCTGTGGGGAAAGGTGAAGCTGAGATCAGCTCCCAACAAGCCTGGGGCAGTGCGGGGGCTGAACACAAGGAGAGGCAAGAAGCAAATCAAGACCCCAAAACACTGACGTCAAAAAGACGGATACTAAACAGTGCTCCTATTTATTTATTTTCATTTTATTTAAAACGCAGACATATGGAGAGAGAATTATTTCCTTGGCTGATTCACTCGCTAAATGACCACAATGGCTAGGGCCGGACCAGGCACAAGCCAGCAGCCCGGAACACCAGCCAGGTCTTCCCCATGGGTGGCAGGGACCCAAGTACTTGACACATGGTGTGCAATAGCAAGAAACCAAGAGGTCAGGGCCCGAGTTCGGCACTGGTGTGTGGGATTCAGGCATCTCCAGGGGACTTTGAGACAAATGCTTGGCTTTTCCCCAAACTTCATACAGCGTGGGAGAGGCTGACTCTTGGACCCCTTGAGATGTTGTTGCAGCATGCTGCACCTGTTCCTGGGGTAGAGTGGCTTGGGCGCTCCCTTTAGTGAGCTTTGGCACAAGCCATCTCAACTCAGCTAAAGCAGGACCCCTCCCTGCAAGTCCACAGCTTTCAGAGGGAAACCTTGGGGAAGCATTCCAAGCAGAAGCACTAACAACCCAGGGCTGCAGGCTCTCCTGCCTCCAGAGACCCCAGTGCTCTGCTGACCCACTACCCTCTATAGAATTCCCCTCAGGCTGCAGGCAGCACCTGGTTCTCGCCAAGACCCTCTTCTGCGATACAATCCTCCCATCCCACCCCCCAGGACCATCCCTTCCCAACAGTCTCCCTTTTAGCAGCTTCTTGACCTTCATTCTCTCCCTCCCACCTGCAGGGAGAGGCCACATGAGAAATGCACAGAATGAGACGTCTCCAGGCAGCGGCCTCCTCGGCAGGGCCTTCCTCCTCTCAGTCCCACTTCCCTCTTCACAGGACTCTAGCGGAAAGGCCCACAGCGTGGTTACCGCAGCTACTTCTCAAACTTAGTCCTGCCACCACCACAGGGAGACTCAGGGGGCCTGGACAGCCAACAGGAGGACAAGCGCAGCATGCACACCCCGGAAAACGATACTGAGCTTTTGCAGCCCGCCCTCCCTGGCCTCGGCTTCCTTACCCGAGTGGGGGATGCCCACGGTGGGGCAGCCGGGCTGCAAGGCGGCAGAGCGGGACAATGAATCCTCGTACTCATCCAGGATGGACGCCATGGTGCCCGGCCGCTGGGCTTTTAGCCCGGGCACCCCACTGGGATCCCCGTCGCCCCGATGGAAGGCAGGGGCTCCCCAACTTGTGACAGATCCTGGGAACCTGGCGCCGCCTCCTGCCTTTAAATCCTGAAGATCTCTCTCCTCTCTCTCTCTCGCCTCTAGGGCGAGAAGATCGGGTGGGACGCTCTCTCCCTTGAAGCTGAAGAGGGTTTGCACCCGACTCGCAGTCCCTAAAGGATCACACGCTCCGGTCCACCGAGCCGCGACAGCTCAGCTGACTCCCGACGCGCGCCTATAACGTCACTTCCGGATTCTCAGAGTCCCCCGAGGTCTGCGCGCGCAGGTCGTCGCGGGGTCTGCCTTTCGGGACCGGGCGGCCCGGGCTGCCGGGGCCAGGAACCCCCCTCCCGGCCAGGGGTAGGCAGCCGGAGCGAGGCAGTGGGTCCAGCCCGGGGCCGAGCCCTGGACGCCTCCGCTCGGGAGTGGAACCGGGGGTGGCCCGGCCTGGCCGGCGCCGCCATGCCCCGCTGCAGTCCCAGGCTTGGACACCAGGAGGCAGTCCAGGCCTTCTCGGAGACCTGCCCCGCGCTGTGGGGTCGCCGCCCGCGAGGGGAACTTCAGCTCTCAGGCCCTGGCCGCGCTTCTCAGGTGATCAACTTGGCCTCGCTGACCAGCTCCTGCCCTCTGTCCCTCCTGTTGCAGTCGCTGTCCGGGTCCACCTTCCCCGACGGGGGCGGATAGTCCTGGCCTCTCCCTCCTCCCACACTCCATTCCCTCAGCCTTCCAACAGGTGGCAGGACTGGTGGCCTGGCCAGCGAGAAGCCATGTCCTGCCCCCACGGTGGTGCCTTGACGTAGGGGAGACACAGCACAAAGCCAGGGAAGATGAAACAGTCCCGAAGTGTGTGTGTGTGTGTGTGTGTGTGTGTGAGACCGTGTCGATTACACACTTGCTAGCCAAAGAGGAGTTAGGCACTGGCTCTGCGCAGGGTGCTAGGCTCACAGGTGTGCAAGCGTCGCCCTGGAGAAGGTCATAAGACAGCATGGGGATGAGGGTGGCGGAGGATGCCTCAAGTAAATACATCACTAATTGATGGGCTTCTTCATAAGATCTCTGGTCCACAAACGGATGTTCACCCGGTGCCTGGCATCCACCGTGCAGGCTGTGGGAACATGACATGTAACAAAATGGAGAGGGGCCTTTGGCTTTGTGGGGGACATGCTTGGCAATACAGCAATGGCGCTGTGGGAACCTGGAGGATGAGATATTTAACGGTAGCAGGTGCCAGGGCCAAGGAGGCCACAAGTGGTGGTGGTGGGGGGGCATCCCCAACTAAAGCATTGAGGGGTTCCTGAACCACGGGACTGTTGCGACTTAGCAGCTACTGCGGCAGCCTTGGCCTCTTCCACCCCGATGGTGTCTCTTACCTACTGGGGCCTTGTTGTGGGCTGAGGAGTTGATTAGCATTTGTTAAGCTTGGCTCCTGCAGGAAATGGTCTTGGAGGCTAGTGGCACCTTGTCTGTCAGACTCATTAGCATCCTATTGTTCTGCTAGAGGCTTGGGGGAAAGGTATATATGGCTGAATAAAGGGAGGCAGAGAGAGATGTCTTCCACCACTACTGGTCTCCTGTCGGTGTCTGATTCCCTGACCCTCACCGTGTCCATGCTACCGGCCCTGCTGGCCGGAACAGGGCCTGACCACTCCCCTTGGATAAGGTCACTGTCTGGCTCCTAGGAGTGCCCCGGCGCTCCCAGCAGTACCTAGAAGCACTCTGTACTTTATGTAGTCATGCTGCTCTTGCTCACCGTCCCTGCCAGGCACAGAGAACCGTGAACCTCCTCCGCTCCCACCCAGGCCTCTGGGCTTCCAAGGGCCCCACCCTGCCCCCATGGCGGTGATGGGTGCTGCTGTCCCAAGTCACTCTGCTGTGCTTCTCTGGGCTCTACCTTTCCTGCCCAGGCTTGCAGCCTTAGTACTGTTTTGTCACCTGAAGAGGGCAGTCCTGGGACTGGTTGGTGAGATTTTGGCTGTGGACATCAGCACCTTCCCCTCCACCCTCCAAGTACCTGCCATCAACCATTTGCCCTCGGGTCTAGGCTGTGCAGGAGAGGGTGACCCTAATGCATGGAGCCTGCTTGCAGCTGCAAAGGATTCTCAGGTCACAGGATACTCCCAGTGCCTGCTCCCTCTCCTCCATGACCCTCCTCCTGTGGCTGTGTGGGCTGAGGTGCAGGTGCCACTACAAACTTGGTCCTATCTCCCTGATGAGTTAGAGACCACAGTCAACCTGCACACATGCATTCTTCAGTCCTTAGCCTGGACTTTGAAGGAGGAGCCAAAGGCTGGCCTCCTGCTCCCTGCCCAGCTACTCACTGTGACCCACCCTTGGCAGCTGTTGGTCTCTGCAGAGTGTTACTATAACACTTAACTAATAGGACTTTGCCAGGAGTCCCTGAGCAGATCCACATGAAAACTCATTGCTATCATTTAACATGCAACAAGGAGCCTGAGCTCCAGAAACCCTAAACATGGATTTGAGCCTCTTTAGTAAGGTTGAGAGAGAGACATTGTCCCTGTCTCCCAGTGAAGCCAGGTGTCAGGAACTCCATCTGCATCTCCCATGTGGGTGGCAATGACCCAAGAATCTGAGGCACCATCTGCTGCCTCCAAGGAGGCATTAGAAAGAAGCTGGGTGGGAAACAGAGTAGACAGGACTCAAACTTCCACTGAGACATAGGATGTAGATGTTCTGGACAGACGCTTAACCCACTGTGCCGCAGTGTATGTCCTTGGCTATAGTGTGACAGTTTCTGCTATGTCTTCCCTTACCCTGGTTACTTTGGGGTGATTGGTTACATTGTGTCACACTGTTTTGTTATCACAGAGGCTGATGGTAGGGAGTAACCCAGACCTTCCTGAGCGTGGGATTCAGGGGTGCCTTCAGCACCTCCAGAACCTCCCGGCTGCAGATGCTCATCCACCAGCCAGGACCAAAGAGCCAGTGAGATGGATGTCACAATGTTGCTGGGCCAGGATGCTGAGTGGTTCACATATTAAAACAGGGGGTCTGAAGCGTATGTGTGATCCCCAAAGAGCTACAAAGGCAAGGTGGTAGGTAGTCCCCAGGAAAAGCCGGGTGCTGGAGACCAGAGGACCAGGGAAGTGGGACAGACTGTAGTCCATTGCGAAAGCTGTTGAATAGGCCCTGGGAAGGTTTTGGTTGGGGATGAGATCATCTGATGTAGGTTCTAGAAAGACGGGCGGTGGCTTGGGTGGAGTCTACCTCTCTGGGAGAGGATGACACCTGAGGCAGAGGTGGGGACAAAGCCAGGAGGAGCCAGGCAGCAGAGAGCTGGCCCAGGGGAAGGAGGGCGGACCAGGGAGCCAATTCTGTGTACAGGGTCCCTGAGCTTAAAGTCTGGGGTGGGGATGGGCAAACAAAAGCAGAATGCCTGGGAACTGCCAGGAACAAGTGACAGGTGACAGCAATGACCGCATTGCCTGGCAGGAGAAGAAGCTGGGTGGAGTTGGGGGGCAAGACAGGTCATGTGACTATTCATGGCCTGAACAGCTACTCCTGAGACACTTACAGGACACTTAACCAGGGAGGCCCCAGCACCATGGGTAAACCTCCAGGCCATTACTAGCCCACTAATAAGTGTATGGCAATGCGCAGGTGGAATGCCTCAATTGACCTGCAAGTGCCAGTTCATGTCCAGGCTGTTCCACTTTCTATTCAGCTCCCTGCTGGTGGCCTGGGAAGGCAGCAGAGGCTGGCCTAATGCCTTGGGACCCTGCACCCATGTGGGAGATCTGTAAGAGGCTCCTGACTTCTGGATTCAAAACAGTTCAGTTCTGGCCATTGCAGCCATTTGGGGAGTGTATCAGTAGATGGGGGTTATTTCTTTCTCTCCTCTCTGTTAATCTGCCTTTCCAATAAAAACACATCCATCTTTTTTTTTTTTTTAAGTAATTCTTAGGACTGGCACTCTCGAACAATGGACTGATATCTGCCCCTACAGCATGGACATCCCATGTCAAAATGCCCTTAACCCCACCTATTCTGCTTCCCATATAATTCCAGCTTAGACACCTGGGATGGTCCCAGAAGATGGCCCAAGTGCTTGGGACCCTGCCACCCAGGTGGGACACCAGGATGGAGTTTCTGGCTTCTGGCTTTGGTCTGGCCTAATCATGGCTGTTGTAGCTGTTTGGAGAGTAAATCAGCTGATGGGAGATCTCTCTCTCTGAGTTTCTCCTCTTTCTGACACTCTGCCTTTCATGTAAAGAAATAAATCTTTAAAAATAGGTATTATTTTAATTTTTATTATTTTTAAAAATAGGTATTTTTAAACAAGTGTAGATTTATAGAAACATTGAGTAGACAGCAATGAGTCTGCATATAATTCAGATACTGTGCTTTGTTATGGACACCTTACATTAATATGGGATCTTATTCGAATTAATGCATCAAAATCAATACATTATTAAAGTCCATGCTTTATTCAGATTGCCTAGTTTTTTTTTTTTTTTCAGATTATATTTATTTTTACCCATGTGAGTGCAGGCTCCCAAGGCTTTGGGCCATCCTATTCTGCTTTTCCAGGCCACAAGCAGGGAGTTGGATGGGAAGTGGAGCAGCTAGGACACAAACAGGTGCCCATATGGGATTTCAACACATGCAAGGCGAGGATTTAGCCATCAGGCTCCGTGCTGGGCCCAGGTTGCCTTAGTTTTTGCCTAATGTCTTTTTCCTGGCTCAGGATTCAGCCCAGGCTGCCCCTTACATTTTGTTGTTGTGGTTGTATCTCCTTACTCTCCCAAGGGCTGTGGCTTTTCCTTGGTTTTGACAAGCTTGAGTACTGGAGAGATTTTGCAGGATGCTTTACATCAAAGTTTGATTCTCTTTCTCTCTCTTTTTGTGTTTAGACTCAGGCTATTTATGGGTGTGGGGGAGGTAAGATGCCATGATCATCCATCATATTGAGAGTAGATATTATGAGTGTGACTGTCACTGTGGACGTTGCTTTTGGTCACCTGACTGAGCGGGGTTTAGCTGGTCTTCCACTGAAGTCAGTCCGCCTGCTCTTCTCCATTATATTGTCTTTGGAAGGAAGCTACTATAACTGGATTTCAGGAATTGCATATTTTGCATCCTTGAGGGTAAAGTGTCTATGTAAGTCTTTTCAAATTCTGCATGCAAGTTTAAAGGATCTGCTTTGGAGTTTAATTTTAACCAGCATATTATATGTATTCACT